CGTCCGCCTGTTTTTTATCAGAAAGCAGAGTAGTATAAAAACAGATTAAATCGATGTGTACAGGACCATGTGGATATACAGAAAAAAGATATTGAAATCAATGAATTGGGCTTATGGAAAGTGTTGTAGCTATAAACTAGATAAAATTTTATAAAAAATCCAGGTTTTGTCCCAGAACCCTCAAAATTACACAACACCTATCATTTAAAATCAATGATAATAGATAAATAGATAATAATACAATTAATAAAATACATGCTAGTAAATAAATATTTAAATGAAAACAAGAAATTTAGTAATACGAGAAATTCATTGGCTCATTTAACCATTATGATTTCTTCTGATAACCAAAGTAGGTGCCAGTTTGAACACAATTTTCAAAGTGCAGACATTTTTGACATAAATCTCGTTTATGAGGAGATGTTTTACCACCTGATGATGTTAGAGGTTTGAATCCTTTCATAATACTGGTTGATTCTGATCTCTTGCAGAAGAGGTCTTTGCACGATTCCACCACATAAAAATCCTTTTTTTTCAAATGACTTCCTGGAACTTCTTCTATAAACCTTTGAAGCAATATCCAAGTATAAGCACTTTCCCAAGATGCTTTGCAATCATTGCATTCCCAATCGCCGAACACTCTGTAAAAATTGTTCCATACTAGATGACAGACGATCTCAAGGTCAGGTTTTTCCTATTGAGATAAAATTTTAAGTAAAATACAAGGTATTTTGAAAAGCTAAATACTTTGCAATAAATTTAACCTACATTTAAACTTTTTGGCTGCTGCTTATACAGAAGGAAACTAGAAATTGAACTCTTGTTACCACATTTCTTGCAAGGCTGCTTGAAAAAATCGGTCAATTCTTCTGGTGTTTTTTTTAGATATTGGCGTAATTTCTTCCGAGTAAATTCAGCACTTTTCCATTCATGTTGACATTGCCAATCATGTTGACACTCCCTTTCGCTTTGACATTTATGTCGACAATCCCATTCGTTTTCACATTTGTATAGACTAACCGATTTTTTTTTTATCTCGTGTTGACAGTCCCATTCATATTCATCTTTGGATTTTGTGTGCTGGCAATTTTGTTCATCTTTACATTCTTTCTGATGTTTGCAAACCCAGTTGTTTTGATCTGTCCATTTATCTTGACATTTCTCTGCATGTTGAGGTCGTTGCCAAGTTTTTGGACATATACACTGATGGCGCCGACAATCCTCTCCGTTTTGACACTTAACAACAAGGTCACATTGCATTTTGTTTTGATATTCCCACATTTTTTTACATGACCATTTGTCTTGACATTTTTGTTTGTGTTGACAATTCCATTCTCGACATAACCAATTACCGTACACTCTATATTTATTATTATTGATTAGGTGACGAAGGATTACAGCAATCTATGGGAGTAAAATATTAACAGAATATTAGAAATTGTGTTATATTTCAAAAGGCTAAATGTCTTGTATTTGACATACATTCGACTCTGGTGGCGGTTCCTGCTCGTACAAACTGATACTCGAGACCAGACGCTCAGTATTGCACCCCCAACATTTCCTGTATAAACGATTTTGATGCTTTAAAATTTTACTAAATGCCTCCGGATCATATACGCTTTCCCATTTATCTCTGCATTTACATAACCAAGTGCAATGCCCTCTATATTTATTATCCTGGGCTAGACTCCTTAGGTAAAAAACTAGTACGGAAAACTATGAAAAAACATTATATTAATGGAATATAAAAAAAATCAGTTGCAATTCAAAAAAGCAAAAAAAAAATTTTTATTTGGCAGTCGTTCACTTTATTTATCTTCAATAATTTTTCCTCATCTGGTCCCGTAACCCTCAAGACCTATCAAATGATCGAAATGCTATCAGTTACCATATTTGCAATTATTTCACAACATCAGGAAAACTAATGCCAAATATTATAAACAATTGTAAGGGTTTAACGTAAAATGAGCGTATAGTTAATGTACTAAAAATTATACACATATTATGCGTTAACCCTCTACGATTGTGTAGAATATATTCCATTGTTTTCTTGATGAAATTGAATATACTAATACCACTTCCGATTCAGATATTTCCATGGATATTTTTTTATATATGAACTGGAAATATAATAGAAAGAAAATTATATTGCAATAGTAAGAGAGGACTATTATTATTATATGACGCTTTCGGATATAAGATAAGAATTGTGTAACTTTAGATAACACATTAATTTTGGCATTTAAAGTAAAAGTTGAAAATTGAAAGAAAACTAATAAATATTCTACATGGGGGTAAACGCACACACAGTAGCATAGTAATAGTGGAAATTTAAAATGTTACACTAATTTTTTATATTGCGCAACGTAGCTTTACAATACACGGCAAACATTCTGGCAATAAAAAGTAAGTGATAAACTGGATTTGAATTGGATCTGAACTTGATATCCAATTTAAATAGGTAACAATTATGCACTGGTGAAGTTTCAGGAGCAATGGGTTCTGTATAAAATTTCGTGTAACAACAAACTTCCACTACGCTACACACAATTCAAATTGTACGTACCTTTCAATATAAAAAATATTTATCAGAAAGCTTTAACGGTGTAGTTTTTCACTTTGTATTAATAATAAAGCTTTCGTATGAACTGACATCTCGTTTCTGCTTCCTAGCACGAATTGTGTAAATGATACTTCCAATTGAATGATTGGTAGGAAGATAATGAGTTCCCCTTAAGCATTCAAGCGAACGAATTCCCATTTACAAAATGCTCTAATTTTCCAAGAAAAAATCACAGGAAAATGTATTAACATAATTACAAACATTCCTCTGGGTATTTTCCTGGGGAAGATTATAAACTTGCATGCTAAATCGTTTGTGTTTTTTTTTTAAACCACGCGTTACACAATTAATTAATAGTTGAGAATTGGATAAAATAGATAATCATAAAATAAATAAATATAGAAATAAATGCTAATAAATAAATATTTAAATGAAAATAAAATAAATAGAAAATTTAGTGACGCGAGAGATTCGTTGGCCCATTATTTCTTCTGAGAATTTTGATAACCAAAATAGACACCAGTTTGGGTACAATTCTCATAATGCAGACATTTTTGACATAAATCCCGTCTATGAGGAAGCTTTTTACTCTTTGATTGTGTTAGAGGTTTGAATTCTTTTAAAATGCTGGTTGATTCTGATCTCTTGCAGGGTTTTTCTTTGCACGATTCCACCACATAAAAATCCTCTTTTATCAAATCACCTCCTCGAGTTTTTTCTATAAACTTTTGAAGCGATATCCAAGTATAAGCACTTTCCCAAGATGCTTTGCAATTATTGCATTTCCAATCGCCGAAAACTCTGTAAAAATTGTTCCATACTAGATGACAGACGATCTCAAGGTCAGGTTTTTCCTATTGAGATAAAATTTTAAGTAAAATACAAGGTATTTTGAAAAGCTAAATACTTTGCAATAAATTTAACCTACATTTAAACTTTCTGGCTGGTGCTTATACAGAAGGAAACTAGAAATTGAACTCTCATTTTTACATTTCTTGCAAGGCTGCTTGAAAAAATCAATCTGTTCTTCTGGTGTTTTTTTTAGACATTCGATTAACTCCTCTCGAGTATATTGAGCACTCTGCCATCCATTTTGGCATTGCCATTCATGTTGACATTCCCTTTCGCTTTGACATTTGTGTCGACAAACCCATTCACTTTCACATTTGTATCGACTAAGCGAGTTTTTTTTTATCTCGTGTTGACAAACCCATTCATCATCTTTGGATTTTGTCTCGTGCTGGCAATTCGGTCGATCATTACATTTTTTCACATGTTTACAATTCCAGTTGTTTTGAGTTACCCATGCCTCTTGACAATACTCTGCATGTCGAGGTCGCCACCAAGAGTCTGGACATATACACCGGTTGTATCGACATTCATCTCCACTTCGACACTTGGGTTTGTGTTTACATTGCACTTTGTTTCGATATTCCCATTCTCTTTGACATGCCCATTTGTCCCGGCATTGTGGCTTGTGTTGACAATTCCATTCTCGACATACCCAATTGCCATATACTTTGTATTTAACGTTTTTGATTAGGTGATTAAGAGCTACAGTAATCTATGAGAATAAAATAGTAACAGAATGTCAGAAATTATATTGCATTCAAATATCTTGCATTTAACATACATTTGACTCTGGTAGTATTTCCTGCTTGTACAGACTGATCTTCGAAACCAGATGTTCCTTATTATTATTGCAACTCCAACATTTCTTTTTAAAACGTTCTGGATGCTTTAAAAAGTTACTGAATACCTTCGGGTCATATATACTTTCCCATTTTTTTTTGCATTCACATAACCAAATGCAATACCCTCTGAATTCATTATTTCGGGTTAGGTTCTTTAGGTGAAGGAGATTTTCGGAAAACTGTGAAAAAAAAATTATTGTTAGCAAAATATAAAAAAAACCTTTCAAAAAAAAAAAAATAGACAAAAATTTATTTGGCCAACGTTTTTTTTATTTATCACCAAATTTTCTTTTGCCTGTAGTTTTGTGGTTTCCCTCTCCAAGGGATTCTATTAAATAATCGAGATGTTATCAATTAACCATATTTGCAATTATTTCCCCTGCATATATACAATAAATATACTAATACTAATACTGTTTTCACTTCAGGTATTTCCGTAGTAGTAGATATATCATCCTTCATGTGGACTAGATATGTAAATAAAATAGAGATGTGTCTCAACAAATTTTTTAAATTATATAGTAATATATAGTAAGGACCATTATGTGACGTTTTGGGATGATCGTGTAACCCCAAATAACACAACCCATTGAGACTAGTATTAATATGGTCCATTGCCGTCAATAAAAATACTAAATATGGTTAAGTTACACAAATGGACGAGATCCATTCGTTCATTAAGGAATAATTTCTGTTTTGAATTTTGAAGTGAAAACGTAATACTGTTTTTGAATAATCGTAGCTTTACTTAGAAAGTTCCTTCAATATTCTCATTAGGTTTCACTAAACTTTATTCATGGAGTTTAATAACCGTTTGTTACACGAATTCGTATGTAAATAATAAAGGCTCTCGTTTTCAATACATTTTGGAATAATCGTAACGCTTGAAACATTCATAATACTTAAAATCGTTTTTTTTAAAAAAAAATTCTTTGTTAATAATAATAATATCATAATATATATATATTGACAATGAAGAGATAAATTCGAATCTTTTATTGTAAAAAATATAAAAAGCGCGGAGAACCTAAAGATAGTTTTATATTAGAACAACTTTAATGAAGATGAAGATGAGAAATATCAGATTTATCAAATAAAATTAGCAATTCCTATAGAAAATCCAGAGGGTATATGTAATTAAAAAAATATGCAAACACAACAACCACCACCAATTCAATTAATCGTTATTTAGATGACAGTTAATAAAATTTTAAAGTTTAATTCCAACCAATTATTAAATATAAATATATCCAATTCCACAAACATCTTCACGCCATGAGTATTGTAACATTCTTAATTGCCACAAGCATTTGAAAACATTTACGGATACTAAATACTATCACTATTACTCTTACTATCACTATTACTATTACTATAAACATTCGAAAGTTTGTCGCCACTTAACTTGCTAACGTCATTTATCCCAAATTTAGAAAATAAAAAACAATAAATTATCTATTATATTATGCACCATGCACAACTGATTGAGACAGCCCATTTATTTCCCATATAACCTTTTTTTTTCCAAATTTGGAGACAATTAAATTGATATCGATTAAATTAAAACTTCCTTTTTTTCAACCCTTTCTTTTTTAATTTTGATTATTATTTAATAATAATAATAATAATAATAAAGTAAACAACAAACTATAAATTTATCAAATTATAATAATAAATGTCAACAAAAAAACTCCAAAGTTTTATTGATATCATCACTGGATTCCTTGGAAAATCGTCGTCAACAACCTTTAGTCTTCCGATTATTGACCTCGGCGTATACTTGAACGATAAGGATTCTGAACTGGCGATTAATGAATGTCGCAAAGTTAATAAATCATATTTTGTTTTATATATAAGAAAAAAACCGCGAACCAAAAATAAACTTTGCTATTACTATCGTATAGACAGCAGATGCATTAAGTAAATATGGTGCCTTATTGGTTAAAGATCCTCGCGCAAAGGAAGATAACAATTCCGAGTTTTTAGTAAGCATTTAGATATATAACAGTTGAATATACTGTTCACTCACTCCCCATTCAACAAATGTTAATTTATTTGAATATAAATTTAGGATTTACTTGAAGATTATTATGCTCAACCTTTTGAAGTATTGCAATTATTAATCATTATTATGATACTAGTGTTTATTATCACTAGTAATATTAATTGAAACTTTATTCCTCCCCCAAAAAAGATAAAACTTAAAGACGCACGTCCAGAACTTGAATATCAAGTTGGTGTAACACCTGAATTAAAAGAAGAACCAAAATGTAAAAGTGATATTAATTGTCACAAGATGATTGAAAAGGTATGTATAAATGTTGCTAATGAAATTACAATCACCTTAAAAATCATAATCATATTATAATTATAATAATAATAAATTATTTATTTTTTGAAAAGATGCCAAAAAAAAGTCGACCTTCGATTCCGAAAGGACCTGATCCAAAATGGAGATTTTTTTGGAACATTGGAGAATTTCCCGAGAAAACCGAGTTTCCGCAACTTAATGCTGAATATGCTGTTGTTGTACCCGAGGGTTAATATTTGAAGAAATTATCAAGATTAAATTTTCATAACAATAATATATTATTAATAATAAAATTAATCAATGATAGCTTTTAAGGATAAATGGTCAAGAATCTTGGATCAACGAGGTGACCAATTATATCAAGCGGTTATAAAGGTTGTAGAAATGACATCTGTTGGATTTGGAATGCCTGCGAATCATTTGCCAGATCTTACAAAAAAAGGTCCACATCTTCTATCACCTACTGGAAGTGATTTGAATAAATACGGAAAACTTGGAACCATATTAGCTGGTAAATTTGGATTTGATTTTTTTTTTTGATTTTTTTATTTGAAAAAAAAAAATTGAAAAAAGGTTCCGATGATATATTTATTTTAATTAATATCTATTATTATTAATATTTATATATTATTAAACTATTATTAAACTTAGGATTTCATTATGATTTGGATTTCATGTATGTTAAAATGAATTAATATCATCATAACAATCTTTATTTTCCATTACTATTATCACATCTGTTATCATTATAACCATCATAACCGCTGTTTTCATTTCCCCATCTCTATAAAGAACCATTCATGGTAAATCACGATTTCCTGGGTTGAATATATGGTCACGTGATGGATCAGAAAAAATAGAAGTTCACGTTCCAGATGGACATTTTTTAGTTCAAGCCGGCAAACAATTTGAATGGTTGACTGGTGGCAATGTTAAGGCTGGTTATCATGATGTAGTCGTGTCAGAAGCCACAATCAAGGTAACAAATAAAAACAAGCATGAAGAATATTTATATTATCCTAATCTAATTAATTAATTAATTAATTACATTAGGCCATTGAAAATGCAAAGAAAAATAGACCGGATAGACCACTATGGAGAATTTCTTCAACTCTCTTCTTACATATTGCCAGTGATAATATTTTAAAACCCATAGAACCTTTTTTTAAACCAAATTCTCTCTACCCACCAATACTAACAGGCAACCAAGTACAATATGAATTAGGGCTAATTGAGCTAAAGACAATTTAACATAGAATTTCACTTGACAAAATAATTTATTTATTAATTTAATTTAAAAATCAGGACAAAAGTTGTTCTGATTAGTTTTATTTATGTTAATCAACAATTTACTGTACATTATTATTATTATGTATATTATTGCATTAATACAACGCCATGGAGTTTATACCATGGATATTTATAATAGTAGACTAAACTTAAATATTCCCGTGACTGTCCTCTACCTATATGATTATTAATTATTTTGTTGCTTAATGGACTTGTATTAATATCAAAATTTTAGTTATTATTATTAACGTTTTTTCCCCTTCAGTTGAATTGTTTTAACTAGGGATCGTGCATAAAATCTAATATGGGGTAGAGATTGGCCGCACCTAAAAATATTTTAACCGGTTAATATTGGCAAATTGTAATTTAATAAAATGATCAAACTAAATCTGTTTCGTAGCAAAATGATTTGCTGTCCTGTATAGTGGTCATGAGATCTGGAAATATAACATTTCTTTAATTATAATTGCATAGCAGCATGTTTGCTGAAACATATCAACTCATTGCTGCTTCTGAAGCTGTGTCGCATAATTAAATTACATATAAAGAGAAGGATTTTTAGAGGAAAGCCGAAGTACAATTTCAAATTAATAAAAGAATCTACTCTCAAGTAGTAAATTAGTATGTCGTCATGTTATATTCATTTTGCATAATTTTATTTAATATTTAATAATAAACTTACACCATAAAATATTGTTTTTTTTTTAATCTAAATACTTATACGTCTTGTTATCATACTACAAAACTGGATCACAGCATCGGAAGCAGTTTTCAGAAAGAACAAACAAAGAAGTATTTGTTATGATTGTTGTGGTGGTGGAATTTGTGTATTAATATGTGGATAATGAATAATTGGTTTTAGAATTATGGTTTTAATGACAAATATTAAAGATGAAAAAAAAACTTTTCAAAAATCGATTAAAAAATAAATTTTTATTGACAACTTCAGACAGTTATTTGATTACTAGCATTAGAGTTCCGGTTCAGGTATAGTAATAGTGATTACCTGTCTTTCATCTGAGTTTCTTTGATTGTTAACCCGACCTAACTGACAGGTAATACGAATATGTATCAAAATCCCAGCATCCACTCACTGGTGAATATTATTAATATAAGATAACACAATTTCTTATTCGAATGATTCGTTTCATTAATTACACTCATTTTGTTTGCTTTATTTGGAATCTTTGTTTAATTGTCAATAGAAGAATTGTCTATCAATCTCGACTTTTTGAAAAATTATAAGATCTTATACGATACTATTGCATATTTATCACCTATTATATACTTTATCGATATTAGAAAAAAAATATAACATAACATTAGTAATTGAAGTAATTGGTTATTATTGTCACTGCAGTAGGAAAAAAAGCAATTACTGTTATTTTCTTGTGAAACTTTAATATTAGACGTACGCATTACTTTCGTTTTATTCGTTTCATTGGTTTCATTGTTTCACCCGCTTCACTCGAGTGATCCAAGTAATCATTCAGTGTAATTCGAATACCCGGAATTAATTCGAATCATTCAGATATTAATATCACAAAGAAAAATTCTGTAAATGTAATAACAATAACAACTGATTGATTACAACATCTGACTGTGACGTAGGTTACAGGGATAACGTAATCCAATAAAAATCCATCAACCAACTATTAATTTGTGACGGTGAACGATCAAACAATTATTCTGACTCCTTCCGTGTCTTTTTTGTTGAAAAAAATAAATCCACTCAGGCAGAGACAAACACAGTTATCAAGTCATTCAATTATCATCAATTGATCAATAGTCTCGGTGACTGTAAAAGATTCACTCGTGGAAAGTTGGAGATAAAAGGGATTCCTGCGTTAATAAGGTTTCTTGAAAATATCTGCATGAATCCCTACTTCTTGTGCGATTTGGACAATTTGCTCTTTTTTCCAAGTTAAATCAAGGTACAGGGTGTGGAATGTGTACATTTTCATAAAATCGTAATAATAGGTAAAGATTATTTCCAAAAGTTAATTTACATGCTCGATATATTGAAACATTTAGAAAACTTCTTTATATGGTGTGAAAATATTTATCGACTGATCTATAAAGATTTTGAGGTGGATTAGTAATTGTTTGTAAAGCAACCTCTTTATTTTCTGATTCAGTCTCAGGTGTTGCTGGTCTTACATGGCTAATTGTTTCTTTTGAGTGCCTCCAGATTCTAGATATCAGCATTTCTTACGAAAAATCTAAACGCAATCGAATTGTCTTTAGCGTCTGAGTTTGAAATGCACATGGGCGGGCCGATATTGATATGTGAAGCAAATTTTACACACGCGCGAGTTGCGTTAATTTGATATTTTTGACTTTAAGGCCAACCATGCGTAATAGTAAATGCACATTAAAATAAAACCGCGCTTGAGTTGTCTTTAATGCCTGGATTGAAACACACAGACTGAGATGTATAACGACCTGCATAATACTATAAAGTTATTTTTATTTATTCTTGTTTTCTTATTAATATAAATTATGCCTTTATTTAAATATTTTTTCCTTGATGTAATTTGTCGCTTATTAGATAAAATACAATAATCTATGCTTGAAAATAAAATACTAAATAATTTAAAAAATTTCTCTTTAAAACTGAAAAATAAATTGAAATCATATTTAAATATTTAATTTAAGTAAGACTGATAAATTATTAATTGAAATATCATCTTGTTCAATTGATTTTCCAAGAGCTCGACTTGTATAAAATGATCCTGGGTGATTCTTGTGTTTCTTTTCATCAATTAAATATTTTTCTGATTTAATGATTTCTTGGCGTTTTGATTCTGCTAATTCAATGATTTTCTTTTTTTCGGGTTCTTCAGAAAGATAAGGTTCAAGATATTCACGAAAACATAAATCAGCTTCTTCAGCAGTAGGCCTATTCTTCGGGTTGGGATCCCAGCACTTCTTCATTAAATAAGCATAGAATTCAGGCGTGTCTTCAGTAATTTCTGGTCTTTTCCCCTCTAGTATGTCCAGAATTAGACCATAATTATGGTGCCTATTGTAAAATGGCTTCTTTCCTGTAGTATGTTCCCACATAATCATACCAAAACTATAAATATCTGATTCTTTTGTATATGGTTTTTTTGACAATACTTCAGGGGCCAGATATGGCATCACTCCAAAGATTTCATCTGGATCATCTTTTTCATTTAATTGTTGACATAATCCCAAATCTCCTATTATACTACTGCCAGTATTATATGAAAAAATATTACCACTGTGCAAATCATGATGAATATAATTATTCCCGTGAATTTCTTTTAATCTAATTTATAATAATAAATAAATAAATAAAATACAATTTAATTAATATTAAATAAAAAATGTTTGGTTATTAATTGGTGGTTGATCATTGAATAAGATAATTGATCAAGCATCAAATTACATCTTATTCAATGAAATCATAATCAATAGGGATTGATATAATAAAAATATAAAAACTTTACCCAACTGCAATCCACCAAAGTGACCCAATTTTATCTTTCCAAGTGATTTCTTTAAAATTGTTTGATAAATAATTATGTAAATCTCCATATGGAGCATAATGAAATACCAACAAATAATCATTCTTATTTGGATCTTTAGTAATTCCATAACATGGAACAGCATTATTTCTAAATTCATTGTTTGCTTTTAACTAAAAAAGTTAAATATTACCACTTAAATTCATGTTTAAAGGGGGGTAGTTAATATATTAATATTAAACATTTATTTACTTACCTCTTTTAAAATATCCAAAATTTTATTAGTTGAATTATATAATCTTTTTAATACAACTTTATATTCATTATATTCACCATAGGTTGAATCATCATAATGGCCAATCCAAATTGCTTCATGAACTTCACCAAAACCACCTTTGGCTAAATATTTGATATTTCCAAATTCATTAAATGGATTCCATCGAATATTACCTGAATTTTGTTTACATTCATAAAGAAATCTAGCAATTTCTTCATTTCCACATTTATTACTTAGATTTTCAATTTTTTTTTCTTTGCAACCTTTGCATAATACTTTTCTACTCAACACATCATCTATGTAAATTAATTTATCATCTAACCGATTGATTATATATCTCTTTCCTTGTTCTTCTTTTTCTTTTTCTAATTCAACCAAATAATTTTCTATTTCATTTATTGATCTATAGAATACATCAAAATGCTTTACTTCTTTTATATAATATTTTTTACAACTGATACAATTCTCTATGATTTTTAATGTTTCAAGCAATTCATTTGATGATTTATTAACTCTAGCATTCAAATTGCTTCTATTAATTAATTCATTTAATGAGTTAAATAGCTTATTTGTTAATTTTTCCATTTTCTCTTGTTGGCAACCTTTGCATAATATATATCCATTCAATACATCATCTATTTCGATTAATTCATCATCTAATTGATGGATTATTGAATGGTTTCCTTTTTCTAATGCAGCCAAGTAATTGTCTATTTTGTTTATTGATTTATGAAATTTATCAAAATAATTTTCTTTTATATTATCTTTTTTACAACTGGTACAATTTTGCATTATTTTTAATGTTTCAATCAATCGATTTGATGATTCAGTAATGCTAACCATCAAGTCACTTCTATTAATTAATTCATTTAATGAGTTAAATAACTTATTTGTTAATTTTTCTCCTTTGCAACCTTCACATAATACCTTTCCATTCAATACATCATCTATTTTAATTAATGCATCATCTAACCAAAAGATTATATCATTCTTTTTTTGTTCTTCTTTTTCTTTTTCTAACTCAACCAAGTAATTTTCTATTTTGTTTATTGATATATAGAATTCATCAAAATACTTTACTTCTTTCATATTAGTTTTACAACTTGTACAATTCTCTATCATTTTTAATGTTTCAAGCAATTCATTTGGCGATTTGGTAATGCTAATCATCAAATCACTTTTATTAATTAATTCATTTAATGAGTTAAATAACTTATTTGTTAATTTTTCTCCATTGCAATCTTCACATAGTACTATTCCATTCAATACATCATTTATTTTGATTAATTTATAATCTAACCAATGGATTATATATACCTTTTTTTGTTCTTCTTTTTCTTTTTCTAACTCAACCAAGTAATTTTCTGTTTCATTGATTGATTTATTAAATTCACAAAAACAATTTTCTTTTATATTATCTTTCTTACAACTGATACAATTCCCTATCATTTGTAATGTTTCAAGCAATTCATTTGATGACTTAGTAACTCTAGCATTCAAATCACTTCTATTAATTAATTTGTTTAATGAGTTGAACAACTTATTTGTTAATTTTTCTATTTTTCCTCCTTTGCAACCTTTGCATAATATATATCCATTCAATACATGATAGATTTTAATTAATGCATCATCTAACCAAAAGATTATTGTATCATTCTCTTTTTGTTCTCTTTTTTCTTTTTCTAATGCAACCAAGTAATTTTCTATTTCATTTATTGATCTATAGAATTTACCAAAATGTTTTTCTTCTATATCATCTTTTTTACAACTGGTACAACTCTCTATGATTTTTAATGTTTCAAGCAATTCAGTAACTCTAGCATTCAAAACATTTCTGTTGATTAATTCATTTAATGAGTTAAATAGTTTATTTGTTAATTTTTCCATTTTTTCTTGTTGGCAACCTTTGCATAATATATATACATTCAATACATCATCCATTTCAATTAATTCTTCATCTAATTGATTGATTATTAAATGGTTTCCTTTTTCTAACTCAACCAAGTAATTTTCTATTTCATTTATTGATTTATGAAATTCATAAAAATACTTTTCTTTTATGCTATTTTTTTTACAACTGATACAACTTTGCATTATTTTTAATGTCTCAATAAATCTATTTGATGATTCAGTAATGCTGACCATCAAATCACTTCTATTAATTAATTTATTTAATGAGTTAAATAACTTATTTGTTAATTTTTCTCCTTTGCAGCCTTCACATAATACTTTTCCATTCAATACATCATCTATTTTAATTAATGCATCGTCTAATTGATTAATTATTAAATGATTCTCTTTTTCTAATGTGACCAAGTAATTTTCTATTTTATTCATTGATCTACAGAATACATCAAAACAATTTTTTTCTTTTATATTACCTTTTTTACAACTGGTGCAATTCTTTATGATTTTTAATGTTTCAAACAATTCAGTAACTCTAGCATTCAAATCACTTCTATTTATTGATTTATTTAATGAGCTAAATAGCTTATTTATTAAATTTTCTATTTTTTCCCCTTTGCAACCTTCGCATAATATATATCCATTCAATATATCATCAATTTTGACTAATCTATCATCTAATTGATGGATTATTATTGACTGGCTTCCCTTCTCTAATGCAACCAAATAATTTTCTATTTCGTTTATTGACTTATTAAATTCATAAAAACGATAATCTTTTTTTATATTATCTCTTTTACAAGTACCACAATATTGTATCATTTTTAATGTTTCAATCAATCCATCTGATAAATTAGTAACTCCAGCGTCCAAATCACTTCTATTAATTAATTTGTTTAATGAGCTAAATAACTTATTTGTTAATTTTTCTATTTTTTCTCCTTTGCAACCTTTGCATAATACATTTTCATTCAATATATCATCTATTTCAATTAATTCATCATCTAATTGATTGATTATTAAATGGTTTCCTTTTTCTAACGTGGCCAAGTAATTTCCTATTTCATTTATTGACTTATTAAATTTATAAAAACAATTTTTTTCTTTTATATTATCTTTTTTACAACTGGTACAACTCTGTATTGTATTCAATGTTTCAAGCAATCCATCTGATAAATTAGTAACTCCAGCATCCAAATCACTTCTGTTAATTAATCTGTTTAACAAGCTAAATAACTTATTTGTTAATTTTTCTATTTTTTCTCCTTTGCAACCTTCACATAATACATTTCCATTCAATATATCATCAATTTTGATTAACTTATCACTTAATTGATGGATTATTAAATGGTTTCCTTTTTCTAACTCAACCAAGTAATTTCCTATTTCGTTTATTAATTTATTAAATTCATAAAAACAATAATCTTCTTTTATATCATCTTTTTTACAAATGGTACAACCTTGTATTATATTTAATGTTTCAAGCAATCCATCTGATAAATTAGTAACTCCGGCATCCAAATTGCTTCTATTAATTAATTTGTTTAATGAGCTAAATAACTTATTTGTTAATTTTTCTATTTTTTCTCCTTTGCAACCTTTGCATAATACATTTTCATTCAATATATCATATATTTCAATTAATTTATCACTTAATTGATGGATTATTAAATGGTTTCCTTTTTCTAATATGATCAAGTAATTTCCTATTTCATTTATTGATCTATAAAATACATCAAAATACCCTCCTTCTTTTATATTATCTTTTTTACAACTGGTACAATTTTGTATCATTTTTAACGTTTCAATCAATCGATTTGATGATTCAGTAATGCTAACTGTCAAATCCCTTCTATTAATTAATTCATTTGACATGTTAAATAATTTATTTGCTAATTTTTCTATTTTTTCTTCTTTGCAATCTTCACATAATACTTTTCCATTCAATACATCATCTATTCTGATTAATTCATGGTCTAACCTCCTGATTATATAATTCTTTTTTTGTTCTTCTTTTTCTTTTTCTAACTCAACCAAGATTTCATTTATAAATTCATAAAAACAATCGTTTTCTTTTATATCATCCTTTTTACAACTGGTACAATTTTGTATGATTTTTAATGTTTCAAGCAATCCATTTGATGATTTAGCAACTCCAGCATCCAAATCACTTCTATTAATTAATTCGTTTAATAAATTTATTGATTTTTCGGCATCCATTTAATTTTTTTTTAAAAATCCACGTAACACAAAACCATTGCAAGTAACTTCATTCAACCCATTCCCAAAAGTCCCGCATATTATTTTTTTTTTCAGCATAGTCAAGAACCTTTTTATGGATAGATCGGCGTTACACGCATTTAATATATATATTGTAAAATCGAAAAAGCACCATTCAGAAAACTGGTACACCACCACTTTGTAATTACAAAAGTATCACGGGTTGGTATTAAACGCACAACAAAAACTTACTTTCAATTAAACTTTTTAAGTAAATCCAATTCTGTCTCATTATTTCTATTTATATTTTCGTTTTTCTTTTGTTATTTTCGCGAACTTTAACTCTCTTGGCTGGGAAAATGTTAATCATTGAGTGAACAAGGTAAAAGAACATCAATAATGCCAATCTAACACAATTTCTTGTACTAAAAAAAATTATAAAATGTTTTAATCTTTCTACCATCTTTATTTTTTTAATATACTATAAATAATAGTTGGAACTACAAACATTGTCATCACCATTATTATTTGTGCTCATAGTTTTGTTGGCATTCGACGATTTCACATACTATTATTAAACTTTCTTTAACATTTGCAAGTTCTCCTACAACTGAAACAAATATCATTTCATCCCAAGGTCAATTCTGCATTTTTTCGAAAATTGTTATCTGCCTTTTATATATGCAAATAGCTTTTGTACTATTTATCATATTGCCAGATTCATTGTAGACATCTTTCCTGGGCATAAACATGCGATTTGGACCGTTTTTTTTTACATGTTTCTAGTTATTATCCAATCATGCTGTAAATGATGCTAGTAAGGAAAAATTAGCAAGTCAATATGATTATCGAGTTTTTTTAAATGGACACACAAAAGCAGACTTCCGCATTAACATTAATATTTATTATCACAAAAAATATCCGCAAAATTATAAATATTCTAATTCACAGAAAAGATATCTGATTTAGCAGTTCATAAATCAATTTATATATATTGTTAAAATGTATATAGTGGTAATCATCTAAAGACATCATCAAATGTTTCCAATCTTTAAGTGCTGATACTTTATTAAATATGGGCTATTTTACCAAAAACTCTCTATTTTTGCAATATTCTAGACATGAAAAATAATGTAATAGAAAGTTTTTTTAGAGTTATTTAATTAAAAAAAAAGTTATAATGGTTTAAAGTTGGGTAACTTTGTTATTTTATTTGAAATTTCGGCAACTATATATCTAAACTACAATTTACAGATTATTTACCAATTATTCACGTGACAAAGTCGCAGATCTTTTACAAATTTGGACTTATTTTTATATATTGGATTCTTTATAAAGCAAGATCAGCATAAAAATTTTCGGCAAGTGGCGCAGCACATGATGTCATAAAATACTGTATAAAGAAAAGTCCCCCAAAAATATATTAACCCAGGGTTTAATCACATAATAACACGTACAATATCCTATTCATATATCAAAAAAAATTTTAAATGTTTGCCTTGAAGAAAACTTTACTTTGTAGGAGGGACAGATTTGTTGGTAAAATTAAATTATTTAAAATAAATTCAATATATTTTATATGTTTAATTGGACAAAAATTAAATTTATGAACTAGAAACACCTAATGTTTCTCCCGCCATTTGATTTTTCCAACTTGTATAGGTCCTAATTATTCAATTAGTGATGTTGAAATCTTTGGAATTGCTTCTCCAGGCACTCCATATTCCACATGCTCTTCGTGCATATTCAAAAAACAGATCTATGGTTAAATGGATAGCTATTAGTGTTCCATGTTGCAACCCAAAAAAGGAAACAAAATGGTGGTAGCAACCATCATCAAAATTTGCAGCCGGTGTCCTTACTAGCTATTATTATTGTTACCATAAAAAAAAAAACTAACATCAATACCCTAGTTAATAGTACTAATAGTAATAGGTAAAAATTGTATATATAACATTGTATTAATGTTATTTGAATGATGGATGTTTGTTACGTGACCATCAAAAATATTCTAGTTGGGTAATATTTTAATTAATATTAATGCTTAGATCTGATCTGTGGTTAAATGATAGATTATTGTTACGCGACCACCAAAAATATTCTAGTTGATATATATTATTAATGGTAATAATTCTTATGATGTATATATAATATTGTATTAATATTTGTCTTTAGAAAAAAATTAGTATCAATAGGTAATAATAATAACAATAATAATAATTTCTATATACTTATATTAATAAACAAGCTGGGACATACAAAAAATTAAATTTACAAATTAGATAATATTTCTTCTGCCATTTGTTTTTCCAGCCTACATAGGTTCGAGTTATCCAATTAGAAATCTTTTTTTTCTTCAATCTCTCCATATTCCATACATCTTCATGGATATTTTCAGCTCATTTTTTGGTTTGGATAACTTCTAGCACAAAATATTTTACAGGATCCTTGAAGAATCCTCAACAGAAATTTTATTTCTATTGAACAATAATACAAATTTATATTAATAATAGCAGACCATGTTGAATTAATAAACAAGTATGTATAAATAACAATCAATATTTTTAATGTCTATAAGTTACATAACGTTTGAAATAAATAATCTGTCTCAGTTTGTTTATTAAAGCATCAAATACAATGTTGTATACAATAAGAATTATTATTAATAGTACATAATAAAACAAATCATGTTGTGAAAAAAGAAATTTTGAGTCAATACCATTGCTATATGTAACTCCTCACGTAGAGCATTTTTGAATTAGAAACCATCCCCATTTTGCATAGTAAAATATTGAGATATTTTTTCTTTAAAGTTTCAAAACAATAGTAAGCCCATTAAAATTCGGATCTTTTTTCTCAAAACACCATTTTCACCATGTTCCTTTTCTATTGAAAAGCCCCACCTAGAATAAATATTTTTATGGTTGTGTAACAATCACCCATCGTTCAACCATAGAAGAAACAAACATCAATACAATGTTAGTAATCTGTATTCTTTTTAATGAATGATATGATGAAACGATCACGTGATATATTATACAATAATACTAATATTTTATTTATTACAATAAAATCATATGATTAAATACATACGACAAATAAAAAATAATGATAATAAAATGTAACAATAATAAGTAATAAATTTATTCATAAAATCAAAAGATTTTTTCTTAAAATAAATTCGAATTTCATCATTAATTATGTTTGGTGCCTGTATTAGTTAATGATCGACATTATCGTTGTATCGAGATATTATGGTCGAACATATTAATATAGATTTTAAAAAAAAATCCGCTAAATCGAATATATATGAAAAATCCGTTAAATCCGTTAAATCAAGATAAATAATTATAGAAAGATTTGGTTTTGAAAATTTATCCGTTAAACCCCTAAATCCGCTAAATCGGCTAAATCGAGACACACTGTTATTGTGTATACAACACAAAGAGAAATCAAGCCGTACTATAACCATTGTAAAACCAAATCACTATTCCTCCTCCATTTTCAAAGACATAGGTATGAAAAGATAATGGATAGCGTGTAGATTAGAGCTATGGATAGGGGGTTTTGTTTTATTGTGAAACCTTCGAAAAAAGTGGTCTATTTTCAAAATGTGCAGGCCCAAGAACCAAATGAGGCAGAGCAAAAAATTCTTCATAGCTTTGTTCACCAATGCTAATGCTTGAGCAATAATTTTTATTTATTTTATTATTAAGACCCTCATTTACTTGTAAAATTTCTTTTAGGATTAATCAATGTTACAACTCAAGCAAATAACATATGATAGCAAACAAATTATTTAGCCATAGTATATAAATTTATTTAATTTAGTTATAAATATTTTATATAACTTCACAAAATTCAAGAAAGACTTGCTTAATTGCAGGTTATTTTTTTAAAATAAAACTATGTACAATATCATCCATCAACAACTTCAAAGGAATAAATTACTCCATATAATATGAAAGGGAAATGCTTGTACAAGTATTTTTTATAAAATAAAAATATACATATTTATTTAAAACCTGATCAAAAGCTACATTGTAAATAAACATATTTTTTAATTTACAAATGTTAATATTATATAGGAATAGGAATACCATGTTGTATATACATCATCCAACTAACAATACTAAGACCATGCAGAAATGAATCTTTTTTTGAAAAAGGCCACATAGGGGTCATGCTGTAATCTGATCTGTTTCCATGTAGGAACACAAGTTGTAAGGTTCCAGTTTGTGATATTTATCATGTGCAAGGTTGGCATTCTGGACATTGTTCAAGATGCTCAAGGTGTATTGCAACTCAGCGTTCTTGATGATGGTAGTTAAATTTGATTGAGCAAAGATTGATGTTGCTAATGATCCTACACTTAATGTTAATGTTAATATGTGTGGGATTATTGTCGGTGTATAGAGTGGTTGGTGTATTTAATCTATAGATACCCATGTCCAACAACAACCCTGATCATAGGTGTTAGATTTGATAAAAATTTACTTTTTCAAATTATGTAGTTAGGTTGCTTTCACAACACGACTTACATCCCTACAAAAAGTTTAGATACTTATTACTTACTTATTTTTTACAAAACATACTTAAATCAAAAAAGATGATTCACTAATTATTTGCAAAATATGTATGAATATACTTATTTTA